GAAGTGGCTCGCATTGCTCCGCAAAAGTCCATCCATCTCCGAGCGTCTCTCTCCTTGTCTCTCTTTCTCTCTCTCTCTCTCCCTCTCTCTCTCTCTCGCTTTCTTTCTTTCTCTTTCTCCCTGGAACGCGAGTTACCGCGGAAACTATACTGCGATTCGTATCGTACTGAGCAACTGTAGATGCTATTATTACAGCTTATCTCGTAATGCAAGAGGCTGGTGTAAAAACCGATACAGGATACAATCCATAAGTAAACTATGAAGAACAGGAATTCACATATTACGCTTGATTTATTCTTTCTTTTTCCACTGTTGACTTCTCAGCCCAGGAGATAATAAATTTACAAGAAAAGATACAGAAAATTGAAAACTGACGGGAAATTGTGATAGTAAAAAATTAACAATTACATAATTATCGATGGCTAAAGAGTGATACCTCGTACGTGGAAAATCGGGAGTTTCCGCGGAAAACGAAGTTAATTTGAAAACCCACTTTGCTCTAAACGGCCCAAAGATACCAGACGTCACTTTTATCGGGAGTTTACCGGCGAGTAATCCTGTTTTCTGACGCTGCATCTACTCGAGCTCTCACAAGTCGGGGGAGAGAAGAAAATTCTGAGCTCCCCGAACGAAAAATCTGAAAATGATTATTTCTACAGACGCAAAGTGCCATTTCTCAGCTGTCGACATAATTTACGCGCGTGAGTTAAGCGCGACGTTTATCGTTTAAAATTATCTACTCAATAGTCGCGAATAATATTCACACCGGCACAATCTATTAGACGACTAGAAAGAGAGAGAGAGAGAGAGAGAGAGAAGTGGGCGAGGGAGGGAGATAGAGAGTGTGCGAGGTCTCTACGGGCGATGTGTCGGGCGCGTGTCTTCCGTAAATTGGCGAGATTAGAGTAAATTCGGGTCAGGGCGGCGCAATTACACTTCTCTCGGCGTTAACGCGGATCGTTCTCGCGTGGCGCCCGGACGAAGCGAACGAGCGAGCGGGCGATGCATCGCCAGACATAAAGCAGGTTGATAGTCCAATTAACGCGAGTGCCCACTCGCGAAGTCGAAAGGGAGAGACGCGCAGAGGCGTCGCTCCATACATACGTCATGCGGCATATTTCCCGGCGCACCCATCCTGTCCCCTCCAGGATCCTTTGCTTCCTACGGCCGATTGATTATCCTCGTTACTTTACGCTTCTCGCATCTCCGCGGCTACCTTTCGCGTCTCGGCCGCGAGAGACGTGTGGGCATCAGCTCCGACGCGGCACTGACACGACGATCGCGACGCGCTTGACAATGGAGTGTGAGCCACGAGGAATAAAGAGTGCGAATATAATTTATTATCGGGGAAACCATTAATAATAATAACAATAATAATAGTGATAATAATTCGCAACATAATAAATCGATTCGTTAAGTTGCGTTAACTAATTTAGTTAGCAATTGGGTAAAAGGGGTATTAAATTAACGATTATTACTGGGGTTCAAAAGGTCGGTTCATACGTGGAAGGCTGCGTTTATTAGTCCGAAAAATTTCGGTACGTTCGCAATACACGATAGATAATTTCACCTTTTTACAATAAATAATGACATGATTAATATTTAAAGTGGCATTATAGAACATACATACACATCCGTGCTTGACTCCCTTATATTTTATCTTTAAATAATAATAATGACAACATAGAGAGAAATATTGGCTGAATATGCGGTTTGGTTCGTTTATCCGATCAATCTTTTTTTCTGTGAACAACAGTTATAACAAAAATAAAAGTAATAATATTGATGATAATGATAACGATATATAACTATTTAATACGTTAACGGTTATGTGGCCATATTAGCGACCGACGTTGGTGATTTTAATTAATTTATATGCAAAGCACAACCAATTACATCTCATGAATTAAATATGCGATTGACAAGGAGCCGATAAAACTAGGTAATAACTAATAACTTATATGGTTATTCAAAGGACGACGAGTAAAATGAGCCGGAATGGTCAATCGTTTTCTTTTTTTTGTGTAGTTTTTGAGCTGAATTTGATTCTGACTTTTCAAAAATTTTAATTTGTCAGAAAAATATTAAAATCGGCATTATGGAACTTTAAATATATAAAAAGCTATTATAAGAACGGTATGTTAGCAAAACTATAATAAAATAAATAATATTAAGTGAAAATCAACCGATATGTGAACAGCACAAATTAGTAAATAAAGAAGGCCTCATTCGGTCAAAACGGATCTTGGTGCTTAAAAATATTTTTTGCGTAAATCTTACGATTTTCAGTAAGTAGTAAAATATCTTTAATAAGTAGAAATGTACATATTATATAGAAGAATATATACATAAGAAAGGAAGCTTAACAGAGCTGAGACAACCTCTTTATAGTCACATTTCGATCCCGAGGGTGTGACTAAAGAGGTTCCGTTGTATAGAGTGTACGGACGTGGGCTGATCAGAATATGAAGTACTAAAGATAAGAGCATTATCATGGTTACTAGGAGAAAGACACGAATGAATACGTTCGTAAAGCTCAACGATAATAATTTACGGTATTAGATATTTGATGAAAATTTTTTTCAAAGGCAGAACCAGATTCAGCAGCTTAAAAACTACAAGAAACATACCGTTTTTACTTGCTAATCCGGGGATTAAAATCATCCAATTTTATCCTTTTCTTGTTCCTTTCCATTAAGCTTCGATTAAGAATTAATCGGAATTCACATGGCGGCCGACGTGTTGATACACAATTATAATTTCTTTAGCGAGTTCTTCTCGCGTTCGGTGGATGCGTTAGCCTGAGTAAACGATGTAACGCTTGTGTCGACGATGTAAACGATCGGGCCGACGGGGAACGATTTCGCGAACTCGCGCCAGCGAGCGACACCATGCGCTTCTCTCCTCGAACGTTTCTATCAGCTCGCGACGGACGTGCAATCATCCGAGCAGCAGTAACGCGGAAACGTCCATTCATCATCGTGATGGTGCAACGCGTGATACGTAACGTCGCAAGAAAGAAGGCCGTGTGCGTATCATTAATTAAACCGGAACATCATTTCCTCGATCGAGCTGGGTTAACGAGATCTCTCACTGTACCGTCCATTAGTCCGCGGACGCGCGAGAGCGCGACGCTTGTAATTAAATCATTCCGAGACGTGTCACTTTGCAAATTCGCGTTGGGAAATTTCTCCCTGAGCTATTCAAACGGACATTTAACACAGTGAACACACATTCTCCGGAAGTTCGCAAAATAACTACAATCGCCGTTCCACTTGTTACGGGCGGATTTCTCCCCATTTTTCCGATGCAGCGATACGACTTTCCATGTTTTATAATCAACAGAGTCGTTTGTAGTGCGGCAAAAAATTCTTTGTTAGACTTGACACATCTCACATGTCCCAATCACGGTTCACAGAATTGTTTTTGCGTTAGTTTAGGCACAAGATGAATATCGTCCTCGGCCCTGCGGAACGAGAGCGATTCGCTCGAGGCGGATCCGAGTTCCTTCGGGACGACGAAAAAAATCGGTAACGCGCACGAGACACACGCCACAGGCTCCCTCGTTAATTAAAATTGCGGTCCTAATTGAAGACCCCCCTCCCGACGCGAGAGGCACACGGCTCGGGGAAGAAAAAGGAAGCGGCTCGTATTCCTAATTACTTGGCCCCTTCCGGATTATTCGCCTCGGCTCATTGTTTCTTTCTTTTTTCCTTTTTAAAGCTCTTTCTCTTTCGCGCACGCGACATGCGCGCGTGCCGCACGCACCGCGCGCCTCGTTAAGCAGAAATCAGCGTAGATTTGCGTCCGCAAATTGCACCACCGATGTATCGGTGTATTAGTGGCTCCCCTGGTGCGGAGCGAAGGCCTCTCGAGATTCGATTTCACCGCTGTCGATTTCACCATTATCAGAGCGTCTGATTTATATTTTCTGCCCTTTTTTTCTTTCGCTCGCGAGAAACGTCGAAAAATATCGAAAAATGTGCGGTGTGTGTGGAAAAATGTAACTATGCGAGTAACCGCGGAAAAATTACGGAAAATATGATTAATCTCATGAATCTCATAATCTCAATAAATAATAATTACGGAAAAAATGATTAATCTCACAAAAAATATAGTTTTTTATGTCAACTATATTGTCTCGTCAATATGCACGTAAGATTATTATTACTGATGTTATTATTAGGTTGTTACAAATGCTTTGTCAGTTTCTTGCATGTGTTGTTTCTTTGCAGTTGATTTTCAACTAGTCTTTGGTGGTGTGTGTCACTCAAATTTGTGATTAAAAAACTGACAGAACTTTTGTAACAACCTAATAGAATACTTGTTTAAAAAAATGGTTTTCCCGATTCAAATTCTTTCATGACGCGATTATATCTACAAATATTAAACATTCTTTCTAATAGCGAATTCGACTTCCCCGCACTACACCGGATTAGTGCACATTAGTGTACATTAGTGCCGCTACGTATAAAGTATCTGAATATAATATATAACATAACTATTTTAACGATAAAAATAATTAATGTATATTCTGGTAAATAACAATATTATTAGATGTTTAATCGTTCAAAATATTCATATGTTTTTTCATCTAAATGATTGTTTCATATATAGCAGTCTTCAGCATGCACCAATCCGGTGTAGTGTGGGTGTTTCGCTACAAATTCGCTACATGTACACGGAGAAAACAAATCGGTTAAATTAACATAATAATATAATTAACATAATAACGAACGAATTAAACGTATTTTGTTTCGAAGAAACAGAATTTCTGATTCTTATAAGCCAATTTCGGTCATAAGAAGTAGAAATTCTGTTTCCTTCGTTCATCATCGCGTTGATTCAAGCAATCTTTTCTCCCTCTGTGTATAATCGCAAAATAATTAAGCAAAGTGTATAGAAATAACTAGCAGCGTTGCAAATCGTATTGTATATCGCGAAACCTCCGCGTTCAGAAACCTAACCGTTTGCCTAACCCGATCTCTTTCACGTTTCAGGGTGTTGAAACCGCCTGGCGGCGGCAGCAGCGACATTTTCGGCTCTGGCCCGGAGGAAACGAGCCCGCGACGCGTCAAGACTCACAATCAGTCCCAGCTGGGCCTGGCGTTGTTCGGCGACGCCAACGGCACCGACGCCGGTAATGGCAACGGCAACGGCAACGCAAACGCCGCCGTGTCCCCGCGCTCCAGCAGCAAGCCCGGTAATGATTCATACAATCGTCTGTTTGGCCCCCCCGATGCCCCACCCACCACCCCAAACGCGAGAAATCACATGCGCAGCAATATCTCCCTCAGCGGGGGATCGTCGGCCTCGTCGTTATCGTCGGGCGCCGCGACGTCGCCCGCGAAGAGCACGACCAGCAGCGGCAGCAACACGACGGGCGTCGCCAATGGCTTTGCCGCCAGCAACGGCAGCAATTCGTTCAACGATATCACAGGTAAGGACGCCCTTTCGTCCTGCGATCGGGCGAGCGTTTACGGAGGTGGTCGCGGATCCTATCCGGGACGGTCGCGAGGGCGAAAGAAAGAACGAGAGAGAGAGAGAGAGAAAGGGAGAGATTGAACGAGAGAGAACGAGACTCGTCTGCAACTTCTCGAAAGAAGGACCTCGTTACCGTAGTTCTTCAATTTGATGGACTTCAGTGAAATAATTGACGAATCACAAATGCAAATCCTTCAGCTGAAGTTCTTCTTACACACTTCTTACACGTATCTTGCTGTTTTAAATAATATCATTTAACACGTTTGGACCCGTTAACTCAATACGTTCTAATTTAACGTGTCAATTTAACACGAATAAACGTTTTAAATGACGTAAACTAAATCGACAAAAAACATGTAAAAATAGCTCCAGTCAAATGTGTCATTCTGAGACGTTTATGCGTGTAAAAATGACACATTTGGATCTGCAAGTGTAATTAGCATCTCATCCGCGAATGATCGTTACGTATTCGAGCATTTTGATTAATTTGCATTTTCTCAACGTTCAACGAATCAATTGTGATCTGTCTCTTTTGTCGGTGGAATTTTGCACGAATTGATACAAGTTCGGAAGTGTTCGTATTTTCTTCCCCTCTCTCTCTCTCTCTCTAGGAAGGACTCTCTCGCGGCAATTCGGTATTCAGGAACAACGCGAACCGTCCCGGAACTACTCGATCCGCACCCCGGACGATCGCTGATCTAAGTTGAAATATGTGTGTGTGTCGCAGGCTCTTGGCGTGTATTTTCGTCCTTTTGTCGATTGTCTTTTTGTCGATTATTACTATTTCCGCACTTGTCGCCACGAGAAATACTTTTCCGGCGTTACGGTCTGAAAGAGGCGTTCGATTTGTGGGAGTCGGACACTTTGAAAAATTCGCGAATTTCATTGCGACTTTTACTATCTGTCGAATAGAAAACACGTACGTGAAAGAACACATCTCTGTGTTGAAGATATATCTTGTTACCGCGACCACTAGAACGAGTACACAAATTGTTCCTCAAATGAATCGCATCGTATTCGAATCGGTCGATATTACCGTCCTTATTGTTACATAATGATTCGATATTTTTTACTTACGCGTGAATCAGCAATCGCGAGATCGCGACTCGCTTTTTCTTTTTTCTTCTCACGCGAACCGAGCCGCTGATAGCCGAATAGGCTTTGTCGGTCGGTGCTGAGCTAGCGAGACACTGCGAGAGAAATAATGAGAATAATAGAAAAAAGAAAACAAGACACGAAATGTGAAGTTCTCACTGTGCGATCACGATGATCATATTGTCTAATTGTGCCGCTTTTAATCATAAGTCACTTTCCTTGAACTGTTCGCAAGCAGCTTTTAGGAGAAAGAAACGATTTCGTAAGTGTGTAACGAGACATTCAAGTAGATGACACACGACACTATCACACTCCGTATTGTTTGATCACAGACGCGAGCATTAAATATCGTTCGTTCGTGTCGATCGTTCGGAAATCGCGCGGACGTCACGGGATCGACCATTCATTTCATTCATCCCGGGAGCGCGCTCGCGACTCTATTTCATAAAAAGTTCTCGTCATGTGTCGCCGGAACATCATCGCGTATTATTCTAGGGCCTGCCACGAGAATGGAAACACATATTTTGAGTTAGACACGCCATATTTATCGCTTAGGCCTTAAGTTCGTACCATACACACGCGCGCGCGCGCGCACATACGCACACATTACTCCGCTAGTAACATTTATCTCGCTTTTATGTTAAAATTATTTATTCACATTACATTATCCCCACAAGATTCGCTCACTCACAACGAACTCGCGGTGAACGACATTGATCTGCAATATCAACGCGAGAAAAAAAAATGTAAATGTTATCGTTGAAAATTGGCAACGATAATTCAATGATAAGTTGTTACTTCGATTAACTAGAATTTTGCTCATGAAGAAATATCATGTATATATTGCGAATTTGATCAGAAATTACGAATTACTATGTAACTATTTTTTGGGAAAGAGAGAGAGAGAGAGAGAGACTCTCTTTTCGCGAAAGATAGAAGGTATTTCGATGTCGTTTGCGAGACGTCACTCACGCCGCTGCGAACGAGGTGCACTGTCGAGGCTGAATCGCGATGCGTTCACTCGCGAAACCTTCCGTTTCGTTTAACAAATGCACGCACGATCGAAGAGAATCTCTTCATCTTTTCTTCCGGTAACGCTCGAACGCAACGAATTAATCTTGGAATGGCGCGTATCACCGGCGGCGAATAAAACTGTTGCTTCCGCGAGTGTTTCTTCACGGTCGGAATAACACGCGATTTGTCTCGCTTTTCTAACACCACCTGTTGTCTTTTTTGAGTTTTCGCATTGTTGCCGTTTGTTAAATACTCGTGCCTCGCCTTACTTTTACAACTTCAGCACAACACACACCGTTTCAACTTTGTTTTCATTTTAATTTCCGTCGCACGGACGAATCCGAGATATCGAGGACGCCTCTCTCTCTTGTTTTGCCTCGGCTGACGAATATCGAATTTGTGCCAAGAACGAATTTTACGTACGAATGTCCGAATTTACGTTCGTATTTTATATCCGAAATTAGTCGGCGAACAGTCGGGAAACAAATGGGAAAATCGCGCAGAATGTCGGGAAAATAAATGAGAAAGTGCGAGTACGTATCGACGTGTTCGAATTTCAAGGAAATTTTCAAAGTATTGCTGTTCGTTCTTACACTAAATGAAAATTTCGAAAATCTACCTTGAAAATTAACAAGAAACTAAAGACCAAAAAATTGAACAGGAAAAAAGGTTTCTTTGGATTTAGTACAAATGTTTTTAGGATTTGGTTTGCTTAATATAAGCAACATAATTTAATATATCCAAATAATTTTGTTTGAATAAAATTGTTATCGTTTAACTAGGGTAAACCATGTTGTTTGATAGAAAAAAACAATATTACTTACGAAAAATATAATATGTATATTTAGCTTTCAATAAACAAATTTATTTCATTATAATAAATATTGTTCTACTATGAAACAAAAAAAATTCTTTAATATTTTTCTAACATAGTGTTACTTCTTTCAAATAATTTATTTGGATGAAAATATGAAAGAAATATTTAATTTGACATGAAGATATTTATTGTTCGAGAAACTACACAATCCTCTTTGTTGAGTCCAACGTTTGTTCCATTCTAAAAGACAAATTTGTCTCAGTTGAAGAAATTTTATTACATCCAAAGAAATCTTTATCTTTGTGTACAGAACGAAATGTACGTTTGCTCTGATACATCGATCAGTTTTGACTGTTAAAAGTTTATTAAAAATAATTTCTCGTAATTTTTTAAGAACTTATAAATTTGTAAATTTCTTTTTTTTGGTTCATGTGCATTGCGTTCCGCGACTCGCATTGATCCTTCCTTATTTCGTTCACTTGATTAAGAAAAAAAATAAGTAGTACATCTCAATGATTCCGTGGTCCGCGGAGAGAGAGAGAGAGAAAGTGAGCAGTGTGTGAGCGCGGTATATCTGCGATCCGTCCGTACGAGTTGCCGCGCATTAACACGAGTTGGTTGGGTTACGGTTGTGGGTTTGCGACGGTGTTACGGTGCATGGGGTGGTGATACGGCTCTGGCTCGCGCGTCGCTTCACGGCGACGACGGCTGTGAACCGGTGGTGTGTTGTGAACGACGCGGGTCGGACTCCGACGTCGCATCCCTCGCAGGAGGCTCAGCCTGCGTGCCGGCGCGCAACCCGGTCACCGGAGACGGAGTCGAGGTGACGCCCGTGAGGCGCATCGCACGAAAGTGTCGAGGTAACGTTTCTCTAATTCCGACTACCCCTACGATTCACTGTCGTCCCCCTTTGTTCCGCCATCCCCGTCGTCCTCAGGACGCGCTTTCTCCCCTTGCAAAGCGCCGGTGGTACTGATCTCCATCACTACCATCACTACCGGTAACTTTACGTTACAAGATTAAGGAGATGGATATATTTTGGGGGGGGGTTGATTAAGTGAATTTTAACACGTTGACTGCCGCGTTGAGCGTGCAAAAGCTTAACCGATAATCGAATCATCGAGGAGATATATCGTAACTGAATGCAATTCGAGACGCGTGTATCTTTTGCCTTGTTTCACATCGGCTCTCTATTCGCCAGTTTCTCGAATTCAATTTAAAGAGATAAGGAATTCTCAAATTTAATTTGACATTATACTTAATGTAACGCGTAACTTAACGAGACGAGGTGACATTATAATTTCGTCACTACTGTGATCGTCACGGTGCACTAAGGGAAAATAGTTCTTTTTTGGCATCATTTGTACCCCTCTATTTTATTTTAATTATAAAAATAATAGTAGCAATATGTAAAGTTATTCCTGACTATAATTCTTTCACTATAATGATTACATTTACAAGTGCCAAATATATTTCTCTCGGTATACTCAACGTGTTAACACGTTAAATGCCGCGTTGATTTCCGCATTGATCTTGCAAAATCTTAACTGATAATTGAATTACTAAAGAAATACGGTAAATAAATGTGATTCGAGGTGCACGTATATCTTTGTCTCGTTTCATTGGCCGTATAATCATCGATTTCTCAAATGTGATTAATTACGCTTTACACGTATAGTAACTTTATGAGACACGGTAGTATTAATGCTGGTTACCGATGATCCGATCCGAAATTTTCATCCTAGTTTAAGTCTAATTTAGTTCTACACTAAGTGTTCAAAGGTCTTCTTTATATTCCTTTGATACTACAAATGGGAAAGTTATTATATAAGTTTTCTCTATACGACTTAATGCAGAACTAAATTTTTGGCTCTGGAGGGCTAAATTCGCTTTATAGCATTAAAGGAACATTTATTGTGCTGCTTTGCTGTTACAAGTGGAAACTTATTTTTGTTTTTCCCACTTGAAGATTTTAATGTAGAATTAAAAATTTCGACTCGGGAAACGTCATGGCATTCAACGTGTTAAGACAATCAACCGTTTGTGAGTGAGTTCACGCGTGTATTCAAGCAAGTCTCGTCGTGAAACGAACGATAGCGCTCTCGGACACTGCCTCGGGACAGCTTGATCAGCGTGCGATCAACGTGGCGCGACACTTCGGGGGGTAAAATTCGCTGAGGGCTGTTTGAACGCGAGTCTCTTCATGGAGCAAAGTGCGAATGGAAGATCAGTTCGATCGCCAGTTGTCAGATCGATCGCGAAACTCAAACGAAAACTCGCCCTCGATCTCCCGACTCATTCGATTTTGCGAGTGTGACCCGTGTTAAAACGATACTTATCTAATCAGGCCAGTCGTTCGCGAGTGCAGAATGAGAACATTGTGAGCGGCGGAAAAAATCAATTACCGTGCCCGGAGAGAGAAAGAGAGAGAGAGAGAGAGAGAGAGAGAGAGAATTCTGATGGTTTCGCGGCGCGTACTCATAATTGAACATAATTGAACGTCTTCCTGCTAATAAGCTCGCGTAGATTGTGAACGTACTCGTGTGAAGCGTCTCGTTATCTCTCTCTCTCTCTCTCTCTCTCTCTCTCTCTCTCTCTCTCTCTTTTCGTGGCACGCGCACCGCAACGCAAATCGCGTTAAATTGTGTAATTAGAAAAAAAAAGAAACGAGAAGAATCGCCGAGGGAACCGGAATACGGTGCGCATAAATATTTACGCGCGAAACCCGATTTAAATTCTCTCTCTTGAGTCTATCTCTCGTGTTCGAGGCGCGAGATCGAGACGAGAGCTCTCTCGATTGCAACGCGGCGATCGGCCGGGATAAAAGTTAAGTGTTGTTCGCTCGGGGAAACGTTCTCGCCGTAGAGAATAAGAGAGAAGAAAGAGAGAGAGAGAGAGAGAAAGAGAGATTCCGAACGGTAACGAATTGTTTATCGAGCGAAGTGGAATTACGAGCCACGTGTACCGTTAACCCCCGGTCTTCCGTGCTGTTTAATCGCGGGTACGATGTTTAACACGGTAATAACGCGCTCTCGCTGCTCTCTCGCAGCCAGAAGACACGTTCGCGGCTCGCCCGTCGACGAATACGGAGTCTCGGTGAGAAAAATCGCGCTGGCCGTTCGAATTTCGAGTGTCCCGGCGCCGCCGCCCTGCTGGAAATTTCCAAGTGGATTCTCACGGAAATCCAAGGCAACTCATGCGAATCCATGTGGAATATTGAAAATTCATATACGCAGAAAAGAAAATTAGTCTTAACTCAAGACCAGATATTCTCGCGTATGCAAGCAGGAATATGATAATATTCTTAGAAGACCTTTAGTCTTTCGAATTGTGTTCAAGTAATACTCGCATCAATACAATCAGGACTAAACATTTTCCGAGACGATTATGGTATTCTTTCTTACGTATGAGAATGTCTATTCTTCATTCAAGATTAATTTTTTTTCCGCATAGGAATTCACACGGTGTGAAAATTTATCCTAGAAATATTAGGAATCCACTTGGGATTGTTACCTAGGATCTGGGTTTCCGGCGCAAATTCCTAGGGGCAATTATGAGATCCCATATGGATTTCTTAGATGGATTTCCCACCTTGTTGCTTCAACAGGGCGGTTATCGAATGATCGGAGGCTACGGACGGTTTCAGACGCGCGCTCGTTGTACAAGCCCAAGGGTCACGTCTTGTATATTAGCGAAAGGAGAGTGTAAGAGCGCGATTAAGGTATTACAGCCACGCCTATGGTAATATTGTGAATCAGTATCTATGTGCACCCGTGTGTTCTGTGTGTGCCCACTTCTGCCGCTCACTCACGTCGTGTTGTCGACTCGAGTCCCAATTCGGCCTCGCGTTCGAATTCGCGCGTCGGAGACTCGCTCGGAAAAGGATCTCTGTCGTGTCTCGCGTGCAGCTTCGCGCGAAACTTTCGTCCGACGATCGCTCTGACACGTTGAGCGCGTAATTGAACTGTGCCGGAATGGTGACCGGCAACTACCATACCAAAACGTGTTGTTAAGTCACATGGCAAGTACAATTAAATGCACCCAAAAAATGCCTGTACAATGAGAAGAAGATGTTTCATACTTGTGACTATGCTCGCAGAAACAATTACTTGTGACGTAACAATTGTAAATGTAATTATTTGTGAAATAACTTTAATCAGAAACAAATAAATAGTCGGGCATTATTTTTTTTATTAAACCTTCCTACCGTGTTATTGATAATAACTTGTAAATATTCTGCTTTTGTTAGAGTAAATAAAAGTTCCCGCCAAAAATGGGTGATATTTAATTTTAACCAGATCAATCATTCTTTCTTCTCAGCGTACGGGTCAATGAAAGGCCAATTGGACGAGATAAATATTACATATATGTTTCGAATTTACCGCACGGAGAAAAAGTTTGCTCGAATTGACCTGACGTGAACGAATCAAGCGTGTTTTGCTTGAAGGTGACAAAATGTCTGGTTTTCGTAAGCTAAATTCGATATTTACAACGAAAAATTCTATTTCCTCCAGCCGAGACGCGGCTTTGGTTCGTTTGTAGTCGATTCAGCTTGAACTTTTTTCTCCGTCCTTATTTACCGCATCCGTGGTAACTTAATTATCGGTCGAGCTTTTGTACAATCGATAGAAATTAGCACAGCGGCGGTCAACGTGTCGATGCGAAGCGAGTCTCCGACGCGAGAGAGATCCATCGTTTCACACGTCTCCCGGCATTCACTGTTAATGTTACGGTAAGTTCATGCGATATCATGTCCTAGCATAGAGTAGATAATACATAATGTATCCTTGTTTCTCTCTTGTAGATCATTTCAGGTGTTAAGCCGGTTCACGAGAGCGATATACACGAGATCATCGTGGCCGGTGATCTTGCGACCGATTGAGTTTTGCGCTTAATTGCCTGCGAGATCAAGCTACTCCTGATTTTTTCCCCCTTTAAATCCTTCCGTGAGATCAGTTGTTGCTGCTAGCGCGACGAGTGTCGTGTGCCGTTTATATACGAGAGTAGTAGAACCTATTCGAAACCCCGAACGTGAACCCGCCCCCACGCTCTCCCCTTTAGTGTTAAACAGTAGTAGTGTGCCGAATTTATGCCGAAGGGCAGCATGCGTGATGTGGGTTTCAGTCGGAACTTGTGGATTCTGTCAGTGTTTCCTCTGCCGGGCGCGTAGGAACGAGAGATACGACGAGGCCAATTTCTCAGGCTAAATCGGGGAGATTCCCGCGCGAATAGGCCGAAGCAGATTGTCGATTTTATAATTAACTTATTATTGATTAATTGGTAAATTAATTTCAACCTGCAACTTCGCATTGACAAATTAATCTCAACTTACAATTTTACATTAACAGATTCTGATGAATTGAAATCAATTTTCTACGGACGAATTAACTTGAATTTGCAATTTTACAATCAATTTTACCTCTTATATTGAGTTTTGCGTTGAATTGAAATTTGAATTTGCCCGTGTTAACGTGAAATTGCGAATCGAAGTCAATTTGCCACCTTGCTAACGCAGAATCGACAATCGAGCTCCGATCCGTTCGCGCGTAATCTTGCCGATTTTCCGGAAGGAAGCTCGGATACGCAGCGAGATCTCGGGGATTCCTACGCGCTTATTAGACGATCACTTGCATGCCAGAAATGTGCGTGTTACGTCGTTACGTAGGGATCAAACACAGCTCGTGTATACTTCTCTACTTTTCCCCGTTACCGGATCCATATCCGTCTGTTGTCGCGCGGGTCGGAAAATCCCCGCGTTATACAAGATCGCGGGGGAATAATTCCTCTGCGATCGGAAACAGCGTCACTTTGCAATGGCGAGAGATAACGTCGTGCAATCCCGTTCTCTCGTGAAATAAAACCACGGTCTCTCGTCGTGCAATCGCACAGACGCGGGCGAAAGCGCGCGGTATTCGCGTCCGTTTCATGTGTCGGCCCGTCAGATCCGATCGGTCGATCTCTCCGCTTGGAATAACGACGCGTCTGTCTCGGGGGATGGAGAGGCCCGGACGCGAGAAAAAATCGTTAGTTAGCGCGATCAGAGCTGCCATTGTGTCGGCACTTCGACGTCGATTATCCGCGAGCATAGTTCGCCGGGTCGCCTTTTGTCGTTCTCCGTGCACAGCGACAGAAACAGTCGTCATTAAGAGACAATAAATAGAGAAAGGGAGAGGGAGAGTCTGAGAAAGGAAGAGACCCCACGAACTATGCCGTATTCGAGTGAATCGCCGTCGGAATAATCGATCCTCGATTGTTCGATCGTCGATCGAAGAGCTCTAACCGCTAGAGAGCGAGCGAACGAACGAACGAACGAACGAACGAACGAACACACTCGAGGATGACTCCCCCGCTCGGTCGTCCATCGGACGAGAATCGACGTCGGAATCGGCATCTTTCTCGACTCGACTAACATACGGAAAAAATGTGCTTTTCGCAGATGGCAACCCGGTAACCGGAACCGGCTACGCGCCCGAGCCGCTGAAGAACGGCCCGACCATGCAGAACGGCACCGTCAGCTCGAATTCCAGCAGCGGCGACAAGTCGATCGACTCGTCGCCGTCGTCGAAGCCGGCGGCGCGCACCCGCGTCCCGCCGGGCGGCTACTCATCCGGACTCTGGTAAAGGGCGGCGGACGACTCGTCGCCGCCGTCGGCGGGGCTGTTCCGTCGCCCGCTCATCGGGACAGCCCGATCGATCCTTTTTTCGGTCTTGTACTCTTAACCCGCTAAGGCCCGCGATCGCCTTTTCGTATTACCGTTCTAACAGAAATAGAGAGAAAGAGAGACAAAGAGAGAGGGGGAGAGAAAGAGAGAGAGAGAGAAAGAGAGAGAGAGCTCCGAGATGAGAAGATCGATAGATTCTCGGTCACCGTGTATACACCTACACCGTCGCGCGGGCGACGATTCTCCGCCGCGATTGTTTCCTTAGAAGAAGCGAAACATCCACCCCCGTCAAAGAGAGTTGCCGAAGGCAGACGGGTGAGGCAGACCGGCTACCACCGTCGGTGCGGGCTTTATTGGGTTAATCAACGAGTGGTCTAACAGCATTTTCCTCTTTTTTCGTTTCTCTTTTGCTTTGTGCCGATTGAAAGAACAAACACACACGCACACACACACACACACACACACATACATACACAGGGAGAGAAAGAGAGAAGAGGGAGGACACACTAAGAGTGACAATCTGCGATCTCTCGAGACCCGGATGACCGGATAACTCTTTCTCGAATAACCGACATCTAGAGCAAAATTGATTTTTAGAGATGACACATACATACACACACACACGTACATACATACATATATACACACACGGTGACGGATAAGCCATCATCATCATCATCGTCGTGATAATCATCATCGTCACACATCATCATCATCATTATCACTTTCTGTGTTTCCTTTTAATAAAACTATTTGATACTGTCATGTAGCGATGTTCGTCATCAGGAGGGCCGAAAAGCTTTCAACGAGGGCGAGAGATAGTAATAACGATAGGAAGCCCGTCGATTCCTCGATGTTGCGAGATGTTCCGCAACGCGGAAACGAGCGCAAGCCGCGTTTTATCTCGCGCTTCGACCAGCGGCGGAGAGAGAGAGAGGGAGAGAGAAAGAGAGAGGGGAGAGGAGGTTCGTGCGCTCAGGTTGTCGCTTAGGATCCTTGAAATATCAATCGCGCGCGAATTTTCCGCTTCAAGGCGGATCGATTCGAGACGATCGACGATTCGAGACGCTAACGAGACGCGAGAGTAATTCTGCGTCTCGCGCAGAACTCGCCTCGCGTCGGTCGGTCGGTCTGTGAGCTGAGGAATACACCCGACGGCTCCACGGATATTTCTTTTCTCCGATTCGCCGGTGAAAAATTCCACGAGCGAGCGAGCGGACGAGAGCGCAGGTGTAAACCGATCCCGGGTGGTTCGTCGAGCGTGAATTACCGGTCCTTCAATTAGCAACTCTAGTAAAGGCATTATCGCGTATACGAACAAGTAACTGTATATAGAGGTAGTTAAAACGATCATCGCGCGTAAAGTGCGCCTCCTTCTGCTCCTCCTCCTGCGGAACGCGCATTCTTCTGGTCGGCGAGCGACTCCGCGCGAGTCGTAAATCACGGTCGCCGAGAAACGCGTTTTTCCGGCGATCGCTCGAGTTTATCCAGTCCGATAAGTAAATCGGGGGAGCGAGGAGCTCTTCTGTCTTTCTGTCTTCTCGAAATTCGTCCCGGCGTCGAATGCGGGTTCTCCTTCGCTCTCTTTCGCCGCGTCGCGCTCGCTTTGTGTTTCGTCGCGACGGGCGCCGACGTTAGGACGGTCCACACCAGCGGATGCTGAAATCGTGGAGTCACGTGATTCGTGCTTTAGATAACTCTTTTTTTAACATATTGTGAGAGAGATGCGTATCAATTGTAGAAGTAACGTAATGCTTCAACTTTTCAATTTCCGAAAGAACAAGCTGATGACTTTGTGTTTTATATTTTATATTGTGTCTTTTCGAAAGGACGTTTTTTCGGATGCAATGCCGCCGAAGGTAGCCGGAAGAAGCGCTCGTCCCGTTCGATCGCTCGGAAAGCGAAGCTTCTCCCCGTCGCTGTCGAGCGTCGCACGACGTCTTTCGCTCGTTTCCAACCGTTGCGCGCGCGTCCACCACACGCACTCATACATACACACACCCTTCGAGACCCGACAAAATCGTTTCGTCGAAGAGGCATTACGCGCGACGAAATTCGCTCTCTCCGTGGTGAAGGACAATGACACGTACACGAGTAATAATATTCGCACACGCGTACAGAAGAGAGAGAGAAGAACGAGAGAGAGAGAGAGAGAGAGAGAGCGTACCAAGGTCGTAGAATTGTAGGATCGCGATCGCCACTTTATCGTAGTGTGCAGCGTTTGATTAGGAGCCAGGTGAGAATCGTTCTATCGATCGATCGATCCTGCCGAAACGTCGAAGAAAGATAAAGAGGGAGGGAGGGAGGGAGGGAGAATGTGAGTGAGGAAG